GGGAAATGTTACTGAAAGCGCCGCCAATATGCATAAATACATATTTAATATGCATAATTTATATCGGCGTGTAGTGAACATTAGTCTCTGCACTAATATCCCATGCACGCGAGCTCACAACAACAAATGTCTTGTTGAAACGCAAGATAACATCTTGTATTGCTTTTTTCACGATCTAATTAAATCGAAAGCCAAGCTCCGGATAAGTGCGGAATGCGGTCGCTGTTGAAATATTGATTAAGCTTTTTGTGTTAGGTACGTTTCAATCTCGTCTTGCATTATGTGTAGCGAGTCAACGAACCGCGCGCCCTACAGCAAAGGTGTTAACATTTTCTCACATTACTTTTAAAACAACAGCAATGTTGCAACGCGTGAAAACTTCACTTGTCACTTTACCACCTATGTCGCTGAACACCTGACCCGAAATGTTGACACTGCGACAAACGTGGCCCGATGTTTACACAATAAATTGAAAAGATAAATCTTTGATGAAAACTTTTACACAACCGGCACGGGTATGTATGGACACAAAAGAGTTGAAATGTTTACAGTAAGTCGGCACGCGTCGACCTAATACACTACCAGATGATTGAGAGCTGTTATGATTTAAGACGACAATCGAGTCGAGGGCTCTAAACGATGAACATTGTCGTTGTGACATTAACGTCGCCTACACAATCGAATCGGGGTATCGCGGCTATCGAAGCCCATTCGAAACGGATAAAGGTCTTGCTCGTGAGGATTCAATAAAGAAAAAAAAGATCAGGTAGTCAGTCGGCCTTCTGTGGCCCATTGTGACTTAACGAGGCGATGAATACTCGGAGTCATCGGCGAACAGGTGGCACGCTACGCCCGTGTCGGCGCTAGCTTCGTTTTGCACTTTTAGAAGTTCGACGAACGCATTTCATTATTCAAATGTTATTCGAGTGGCGTGAAAGCGCCTCGATAACCTCGACGGCGACGGGACGTGCACAGAATGACTGATAAACGATGTACCTATACTTAGACCCAGCATAAATAACTATCGACCAATTGACATCTCTACACCATTGTAATAGAGATTAGAAACGAAAAACGACCATCCGAAATCCGAGACCGATAGAGTCGGGCTCATTTCCATTATATCTATGCGAAAGCAACACGGACTCCGAGAGTAATTCTAAGTTAATGTTAATCGAATGACTCTATCGAATTACATCACCATGTAAACTCAACAAGGAACTAAACTTTATAATACATGGCTGTCGATGTATTTATTTAGTAGTAGGTACCTAATAAACACGAGAACGACTGCCGGTGCGTTGCCAACGTTCCAATGAGCAATTTTCCGAGGAAGTGATCGCACTCGAGCTCCAAACAGATAGGTCTTTGGCGCCGCGGACCGCTCTCTATAATAACGTTTGCATTTATTTATCGCTAGTTTGCCGACACTATTCGACGTGGTGTATCAGGGTACCGCTATCTTTGATAAAACGCTCTCTCGAGCGCATTCAGAGAAGCACGCTCTTCTAAAAGCTCGTGAATCTCTCGATTTGGAACGCGAGATTATCTGTGCGATTTGTCAAGGTGCAGCAGCGTTAAGCCGCTTTAGAGGTTCGATCTCGCCACGAGATAGCAGCAGAAACGCTACTCGACCTACAGACTGGCTTCTCTTGACTTGCATTCCGATGGAAATTGCCCGCGGCCCGGCCAGATTACTGGCGCCGCATTGGATAATTACGCACCGACGAGGACGTCCATTACGGAAGATAATTCAGCGAGTGCAATTAGAGGATGGCTCGGGATTCGATCGCGGCTGCTGATGCAAAATGATAAACCGGATTCTTCTAATATAAATTAACTATGTCCAATGTCCATAGTCATTAAGCTCCTCGTCGAGTGCCTGTTTAACATTCCACGCCACTGCATCTATACTTAAGACGCTGACGGCGTCTAGCCATATTAATAGTTGTTGAATAGAGAATAGTTGTCGACTGTGATGGCCGGGGCCCGTGCGGCCATGTCAGTAGTCACAAATCAAACGGTCCAAATTGACAGCCAATAAATAGTTTCAAATAGCGGACATTGGAATGCGACAACAAGGCCGCAAAGCAGCCTTGCTTTTTCCGCGTCATCCAATCAGCATAAAGCCTGTTATGTTAGCTCCAATCTGAATAGCAGAGAAACCGGCTGCGGCTCGCGCCACAATCATTATTAACGTAATAAAGTACTAGATAAAACGGAGTCAGACAGCGTGTGAACGTTAGGAGAAAGCCGTTGTCGCAACATTTGTTAGACGTTATTACCATCAGATACCCATTTGAATGTTTTTAACAGAAACTGTATGTTTAATTACGACTCTGAAGAGCATCTCAACCATAAAAGTCTAATGCTTACTAATGATTACAATCTAACAACCAAGAGCCTAATAAAAAGTTGAAATCAAAACTGATTCCCGTCGATTCGTCGTCCATATCCGATGCTGAGAAAGTTGTCGGTATCCAACATCCATCATTTAATTCCTGTGGTTTCAATTAAACTATAAAACCACTATGGAAGGACCTTAACAGATAAACTGTAGAAATAGCAGAGGCTATGTTTGATGAGAGTATGTTTTGAGATATCTAAGCGGTAGATCTAAATTGAATCTCTGATCTGAAATGAGCGAAATGCACTGAAGAAATGGTCTTGGAACTTGATACCACGAATAGACGTCTCGTTGCGACCATCTGTAATGAAATTGAAGGGACGTACGTAGCAAACGAAGCGGCGTTAAAGTTATCTTATTATAAAGATCTGTTCCACCGCAGCGGCGTCTGCGACGAGAACATTTCAATCGCGATTTACCAAAACCGGCTCCCGTGTCGCGATGCGATCGAGATGGTAAATATTTGCTCTTTTATTTAAATAAGTCGTTATCGCAAATGTATTTATAATACTTTCTTTTAAAGCCAACCGTCCCCAAAACGCTATTCCTGTTTAATAGATCGACTTTCATAAAAAGCTTCTCCGTTAAGTGCATTCCACTTATTTCGAGCATCCGAAAAATCCTTTTACGGTTCTCAATTAGTGCGACTAACAAAGGGGAAACTAGGGAAATTAACACCTCGTTTACTGTGCCACGTGACAGAGGGTGACCGATTGCGTCGGTCCCTCCGTAATGTTCGGATGTCCAAACAAAACCTCACAACCGTGAAGCACCGCATTCTCACTCAATGCACCGTGAAGAATTGGCGCCTATGCACTTAACAATTCCTATAAAGCTGCTTTTGTGCATTAAAGAAAACCAAACTTGGGAAAAGATAAGAAGCACTTTCTTTTATCTTCGAATGCATCCTGCCTTCATGATCATTAGTAAGCTATCTCGTTCTGGCCTCGCTCCATCCTTTTCTCACACATCTCCGGAGGGCCATTTATCAATACCAAATAACATGCCGGGACCCTTTTCTCTTTTGTTTATTTGTTTTTTATTTACCTTATCCTTCGATGTTCTATTTGTGCCTTCGTTTTTGACTCGAAATTGATTGTAAAGCCGGTCTAATAGCATCCGTCGAACATTATGTTCTATGCATTGATGGCTACTAATGAGAGATGATGAGTTGGTTTAAGTAAGACTACGTAAAAGTTAATCAATATTGGAATACCTTTCTAGAAATGAACTGTAAAATTGAAAATTGCCCGTATTGTGGAACTATAAGACAAACAACATAAAATTAACGACTGTAATAGAATCTCGATTTCATAATAATGCATGGCGCGCTGCAAAGTGCAATTAATGGAAGCAATTCTGCGTGCAAAAGCTATTAAAGTTCGCTATTAAAAGTTTCCAATTTCCCTTGTTCAAAAGGTTTAGCTATTAACGGTGCGCAAACCCTTTTCCTTTTTTTGCGTCAGTATTTTATTCTTTAATTGTTTTATTTATGGCAGTTTCGCATTCGCTACCGACCGACTTCATCTGCCGCTTTGAGCACGAACGAAATTCTGCAATTTCTTTGTGAATTCAGAGACTCTTGGCTCATTACGTTTTTGCTGAACATTTTTTAAATGCGGCGACTGCAGCATTTAGGGAATAATAAATATATTTACTTTAATCAATACATTTTTAATGCCCCTTTAAAACGTGATTAACCGGACATCGACAGCTAGTGTGGTTTTTATCAAGATTCTTAGTCGATGTCCCGCCGATGGGCATTGGCATCGGACAACTCACTAATCATTCAAATATTAGGGTTTAAAAAATACAAGATTCTGTGAACGAAAAAGATATCCTAAAGATGCCGGACATCAAGGGGGGTCTTCCTTAAGTTTTCCTCCGTTGTCGAGAGCAAATAAAGCGGCGTCCCTCTGAAATTAATTTTGTTTTGTTTCATCGTCTGGAGCCGAAGCATTTACATTGAATGTGGTCGGAGGCTGGCCGTTTGTGAGGATATTTATGTAGGGGCCTGTGGAGTATGACATGCGCATTATTCATACACGATACGCGCCACGAACCAGCTGTATTTTATTTTTACCGGTTCATCGTCTTGTCGTCGATGGGTAACCATTTAGGAGATGAAAGGGAAGTTTTTCTATTCAAAAACATTTGTGTGATTCACCGCTATGGTTTCACAGTAGTCGGATCTTTGTTGAACTAACATTACTTCTTGGAGAATATGAAAGACAGATGAATGGGTTCACGAAGCTAAAATGTAGGAATTTATAGGTAAGGACGTAGGCACGGCGAATCGAACGCCATCAAAGTTTACGACACCACAAGGCGCCACGGTGTCGATACTTGTGATTGGATACACTGACTATAATGCATTTCCTTTTGCATTTGCAATAACAGTTTCCTGTTTCAATTTATTAGTTTACACTTATATATTTTCAACTTGTGAATAGGGTTGTTTTGTCTTGACGTACTTACCTTATTATCCACATCCTTTCGACTTTCTATTTCTTTAGAACACCTTTGAAGTATATTCGATTTCTTCTTTATTGCGAATTGATCTGTGGTTAACATACATTCGTTTTTGTTACAGATTCAAATGACGGTGACGCAGGAGTGAGATGTTACTGCAACACTGCCCAATGCGTGGGTACGGGCTACATGTGCCGGTCTGCGCGCAGCGGGGGATGCTACAGCGAGCTGCCCAGGCGCACGCACCACGCAAGGCACGGATGCCTACATCATCTGGCTGATACGTAAGTATTTCACATTTATTTATATGTAACAAAGCATTTACGAATAAAGGCAGAGCCAAATAAGAATAAAATCGACAATGTTATGCAGACTGTTTTGGATTCAGACGCATTTTATTAAACTAATCGCAAATATTTTCATTTCAAATTATTTAAAGACCAAATAAATTTTCAAAGACTAATTTAAAAACCAGGTGTAGTTGAATCGTACATGTATTGAACTGCATGCAGAAATCTTCGCACATAATCAACTCCTGTTTTGTAATCGTTGTTCCTTTCGCACCTGTCCGTTTTATGGTCATCAGAACAACCATATCTTATGTTTATTTAGTTTCTCCCAGTTCTAATGTACGTGGCTTTGTTTATCTACATTTCACTTCATTGATTTCGCAATATTTTGAAAGCTATATCGCATTAGCATTATCTACATCTTCCAGTCTATCGGTTATTACGCATATAATACATATATTTGTTTGTATTTTTGTATTTTCTTTTCCTGAAAAGATGATATAATGTGATGCATATTAGATCATTTATATTTTTACAAGATCACAATGGAAAATTCTAGACTTTTTAAAATCATAATCTGCGTGCGTATTCAGTAGCCTTGTTACTTTTGATAAGCGTGTTTTGGACAATGATAGGGTCATCGGTGGTCAGGTTCACAAACTTATCATAGTCATATAAATAAGATTCGAAACAAATTGTGCTGAATTCTTCGAAATGTTTAAAATTCGATTTTTTAGTAGTATTGTTAATTGAATCAGAGATTCGTCTGACGATATTGACGGTACAAAAGATGTGGACGATAAAAAGGCTAAAGGAGCGTTCCAACAACATTCCTAAAGAAGGACTGAAGATTTTATCATTTCTAATTGCGATTCTAATTAGTATGCTGCCCATCGCTTAAATGTCAACCCTTTACAAAAAGATACATGAATTAACAAATTGGCTACTGCAGTGCAACCGCGCAATGTGACTAAAATTTATTTGATAACTTAAAACCGGTGTAAAATTACATTACGGCGTTGTGACAAAGATCTGTCTGTATAGTTACTGGCTACTGTTATTTGCATGTATTCATGTTTTACTTAAATCACTGTCACTTAGGCTTTTATCTTTTGCTTAAGTTTTATCTGAATTGTCTATTTATACCCAAATATTTTTCGTAGTGAGACAAAGGTTCATTATCATTGATAGTTTTAAACCTTTCAGAGAATCGATATTCTAGTAGTTTCATCTAGAATATTAAGTTTTATCGTTGGTGGTATTTCACATATCATCTCAACCAAAACAACCTCAATTAGTATATATCCTTCACCTATTTTGACATCCCAATCTTCATGATCAATTAATAACAATCTTAATCCTATCTCTTGACATTTTCACATCTATTTATAAAGTAATTACGATACATTTCCTAAGATACGAGCGGCTGTACCTTTTTGAATTTCATCGAGGAATTAATTATTCTTTTGTTAGTCATCATGTGAGGTGCATTGTCATCCATCAATACTGCTTATCATGCTAGTGTATGGGCTCTCTAGCTGCGTACAAGCACCTTCAATCAATTTGTCTTCAGTTTCGAAATGACTGCCGCTTTCTTCCTGATCATAGATGGAACATAACGACACAATTACAAATATGATTGAATATGTAGTTACAGAATTATTTGCAGAATCTGTTCGTTTGAATAGATGACACTGTTCCGTCACTTGGGTAATTATCAATAATTGGAAAGCTGTCTTCTACTAAGATCAAAGCATCTTGTTATCTCATTTCTATTCATAGAAACGTGAACATTATTTCCATCAATAACTGCTTGTTTATTTAACAACAGTAGAACATTAAGTAATCGTCGTATATTTTTTATGTGGCGCACGGTATGTTCATCTCGGTTTATTAATTACACCGGCGAAGGCATGTCGGACTCCACTCTGTTTTTATACTCTGAAATTACCCGCTCAGTTGATTATCTTATTCGGATCGGCCCGGGCCGCGTTCACCTAACCGGTTTCTGTCTGCCGCATGCCCAGTTTTATTTACTTTAAATAATTTTTGCTCCTTTTTGGCAATCTCTGCCATTATCTTCGCTAACGATCGCCGTGTCCGCTTCGTTAAGATTTCCATAGAATTCAAATTGATATTCGCTTATTTTATCGGTAATTAATTCTCGTTTGACTTGTTTATTGTGTATATAAAGTGCTGGTGAGTGATGTCGGTTTGATGTCCTCGTTTGTTAAGATAAGGGTGACTCTGCTGGGGTTGAGGCGCGGGTCAGGCTAGATAGTGCTGCGCGGCCGCCGACCCGGCCTGTTCGTTACTATTTCCTACGAAATCACACCCAATCACTGAGTGATAAAGTTTAAATTGGTTTGTGTAATTATCGAATGTATGGAATGTCTCCTCTAGGCTTTGTTCTTAGAGTGATCTTTTTGTCGTCAGTAATTGTGATCATCGATATCAGCTATGGAATTATCTCGTTGGGTCAGTTGCATGTCAACAATCCAGGTTCTTTGTATGTCGTCTCAACTAGTTCTTTGTTTCAGCCATTTGCATTGCCACAACAGATTATATTGTTATCTGCCTCTAAATACGTAATTTATGCTTATTTATTTATTGTTTCAACTCTCGATTGTTTAACACTTGGGTATCAATGTGACATTACATTAACTCGTATAGATAACGTTTCTTCGTAAATTGTGGATAGTTTATAATTGCTCTCGTGTAATTAGGTACATTAGTTAATTTTAAAACTGTTTTATCTTTTGTAGCAAATGTACCTACGGATGATTTTTGAGTATCGTGCGAGATTTTAGCTCCCATTTCTGCTAAACTTTGTTATGAAGTATTTCATTTTGTAAGTGCTACTTGAGATCCTATGACAAAAAACATACTGCTAGATCATTCGAAGGTCTCATTATTTTTACTTAATTAAGTGCCCTTAAAAAATCTTCTTGAACTTTCTTTTCACATGTGCAGTTAACGCATTGATTAAAACGAAATAATGAAGCAACAACCAGTTCATGATGCGCTGCGAGATTAAAACTATTTAAAACTTAATTGGCTTTTAGTTGATTATGTTTATTTTTATTTTTATGTCATAATACACCTTTCATAGTTATGTACTTATCAATAACACGGACGGTAGGATGACCCCTGTAACACAGGTTTTCCTAGCACGGGGGTCATTGAACATAATTATATACTAAATGACAAATGTCTCATGAATTCTAGATCAGTGTCATGATTGTGTAACGTGTACTTCTTTATTTTGAATAAATGATTTTTATTATTATTTTATTATTATTTATTTATTTTATTAACTCATTCCTGGACTGTACTTAGAGGCTGTTGACTTAGAATAAGTATTTTTTTTAACAAAACTTTGCCCCACACTAAGTTTTTCTCCTGTGTCGTGGGTGCGTTTACATAAATTCACATACACATGACACCCAAACCCGGAACAACAGTCAGTGGATCACACAAAGAGTTGTTCCGTGCGGGAATCGAACCTGCGACACGTTGCGTGGCAGCAGATAGCCCAGCCACCGTGCCAACCGTGCAGTCGATTACTTACCTATGCTTTGGGTCCACCGAAGTGATCACTGTATCACTGTCTTATAGAAAACCAGAGTGAAACAACACTTGCGTTGACATTTCGCCCTTGAAGGTATTGGCCCAATTTCTTTCATCCCAGCGTGAACTTCTCTGGTGTTTTGGGTGTCCGTGCGCGCTGCTGATTGCTTTCCATCAGGTTCTTATTCCCCTCATTCCTCCTTCCCACGATCCTTCGATGTTAGATCGACTTCGTTTGATGTTAGTTGTCAGAGAAGTTTCAAAGGTATAACTTCTCTGATGTTGCCATTTATCCATGTACGGCGTTGATTTCTTACCATCAGGTGGTACGACTGTTTATGTACCGAACGATAAAAACAAAAATGAATCGTGTTAATAACTAACACTTCTATTAGTTTTTATGTTAACAGCCGCAACTATAAAACCATGTAATGTATGGTAAATAATGGAAATGATATTCGTATTGCGAAGAAAGTGTTAAATTTATTCTTTAAATTGAAACGTTACTTTATGATCGTGCGAGTGAATAATTGTATTATGGTACACACGGCTACACATCGAGCTTTACATAACCAGTATAAACTGAACGTTAAATGTGCGGAAAGATGATGCGACGCGACACCAAGATAAACTGGTTTTGTATAGATTGATATGGGGCCGTGTGTACATGGTACCTACTGCTGTTGTTTTATGAGTAAACTGTTTTAATGTTGATGAATGTGTAACAAAGAAAGCTTTAGAATGGTATTATGTATTTTATTGCGGCTTTGCCCTCCGCGTTGAAAACATTTTTGAAGAGAAAAGAATCCGGGACCGTTTTAAGTTCTATTACAAACTTAGAGCCACGTCTAACTGCTTACAAAGTTAGTATAAAACCTATTTTGAAAATGTATTGAACTATTTAGACCTTGATGGTATGTGTGTAAGTATCAAAGTTCATGAAAATCAGTTCTTACGTTTCCATAAAATGGAACTGATTGAAATTAGGTGCATAAACGTTCTTAATTATTATTTTGTTTCTTTTATAAACATATCCCTTTTAGACCCATCTGGTGTTTAAGATATCATCTGATGTTTTGAGGGGGGATTACATTAAAATCGCTATTTCTAATGTTGCTTAGCGACTCGAGTTAAGTCGCAAGTGAAGATAAAAATGGCACAGTATTATTTTAACCTCTCGCGTGTTTCTCGTACACCCGTGTGTACGAGAGAGTTGAGTGCCCATCGCGCAATTGTACACACGGGTGTACGAGAAACGCGCACCGATTGGATATTTTTTCTGTGACGTGTATTTTCAAGTTAGCAACCCGTTCTTTACTTGATTGAACAGAATAGTTAATTCGCTTTTCTGTTAAAATATTTCCCGTGTGTACGAGAAGCGCGCGAGTGGTTAATTTAAATAATTATTGAGATTTCATTGGATT